AGAGAGAAAATCTTTTTTTTTTTTTTTGAAATAACATAATGAATCATAAATTAAACAAGATTGAACTCATAATTTCCAAATAATAAATATAGGGTAACCAACTCGTGGCTCGACTCTCAATTTGTTTAAAAAAACAAAATTCCCCAGCGGAGTCGCCAAGCTGTCGTAACCGTTTTTCGCCCGTTGGGTGAAAGACCGATATCGACTTGGGGGGTTTCTCTTTGAAAATCGTTTCAAAAGGTGAGGAGTCGCCACCAATCATTTAAGGTGAGATTGGAACACCATAAAAACCGGGTGATTTTAATAAAATATTTTTATTTTAATAAAATACCGAGTTTTTGAGGTCTGCAAAATCCAGAAATCAGGTTCGGAAGTCGGTTACGCGTGGGGAAGGATTAGCACCCCCACAAGCGCCCAAAAATTGGTACCTAGTTGATTACCCTATATTTAAAATCGGAAATTTTGAGTTCGATCTTTATTTAATTTAAAAATCATTAAGGATGTAGAGTTTGAAAAGGGTATTCGTTTATTGAGACCGATAGCATTCGCCCCCGAGCGTAAATGCGGGAGATCAGCTATTCTGTCTAATAACCGAACATTGCCTCATTTTTAGAAAACATGATGTGGTTTAAAAAGGATGTTGACTTATTTGGGGAATTACCAGTAGTCACCCCCTGAGCACGATCGCGGAGGATATACTATTAATTCCTAAATAAGTGAACAGTGCCTTAGATTTGTAAAAACAACGCAATCAAATAAAATTTTATTTGTCCTAATTAAACTAAAAGTAAATCAAGGCCTTTTTCTAACTTAAAATGTCAAATTATGAAAATTAAGGAACATAGGGACTCAAATCTAAAATGTAAGGTCTAGTATTAATACTTAATGTTATATATTAAAATGAATTAAATATTTACGTATTACAAAATTTCTTTTGATAAATTTTAAAATGATCGAATATTATCCTTAGTCAATTTATTTGATTCGAGTTAAGTAATGCTCATGAGAATATTGTACAAATTCTTTCGAATTGAAAAGTACATGAAAATAAGTCTACATGCTCCTGATCAAATAAATTTACATTGCTTTACACGTATTAAATTGGTAAATATAATTAAAGGATATAAACACATTTTGCAAATGATTATTACCTATTATGCAATATACCTATATGGCATACATATATATATTATATTACATATGAATTCATGAGATGCAAAATACGTAAATAAAACAAGTGCCGTGGTACCCTATTTCTGTCGATTGGTATTCGCGTAACATAGAAAAGTTAACGCTTAACAAAAAAAAATCTTGGCAACATATTAATAAATAAAAAAACTAAAGAGTGGACGTTTGATGTGAATTAAAGAGAACAAATAACAAAAAAATACCATCAGATAGTAAATTATTTAATAGTTGTAGTTGTTTCATACATAAAGTAATGGTTTTCTTGGGCCCTTTGTTCATCATTTCTGGAGTATTTCAAAGAAATAGGATCCACTTTCCTTCTTTTGTCTTGGAGTAGGTGTTGAACAAACATTTAAAAAATTTCTACCGGAAAAGCAGACTAATTTAAACTAAAAATACTAACTTTAAAATAATGGCTAAATTCAAATAAAAGTAAAATTACATCTATAAAATTAAAAATAAACTAATGACCTAAATACAAAATAAACATACGTTACAGGGTCTTATGTATGATTTATCCTATTTAAATTAAACTAAAACAATATGTAAAATAACATAAATAGTGCCTGCACATTTGAAAATAATCAGAAAATTAAAATAAATAAAGGACTTCTTTAAAAGAATGTAACTAAATTTTGAGAACCTAAGAATAATTTACCCTAATAAGTACGGTGACTAAAAGTTAATTTACCCAAAACTTTTAATATAAAACCTAATTTATGCCTAAACCTAAGCTAACTTACACACAGGAAATGCCTCGCTCCTCTTCACTTTCATTTTCATCCTAAACAGAGAGTTGAAACTCTCTTCTCCTGCCACCATGTTCAACGGACATGGTAATGACCCAAAACCTCTACCAAAGCAAAGCGACCACCACAACCCTCTATGGACAAGGTTCCGTTTCTAACAGACTCTTAAACGTTTTTTAGATAACTCTTTCTAAAGATATTCTACTAAATTGACCCCAAAGATAAACCACTCTTTTCTCATTTTTTAGTTTTTATTTTATTTTATTTTATAATTTGTTTTTTACTCTAGTGATTGTTGATATTTATGGTGATGATTTTTTACTTGAATGCTTTCGTTATTTTTCTTTGCTGTTTGTTCTTGATGAAGGAAATAAGGAACGATTCTCTCGTTCTAAACCCAAACCGGCCTCTAGTGACACATGCGAGCCCTGGAACTGTAAGTAAAGTTTCTCGACAAAATCTCCACAAATATCAGTGACTTAGACTCCAACAACGACGAGACAAACAAAAGAAAAAAAAGGTAATAAAAAAACTCTTTTTTCATATTTTCTACTTGCTTAGAAAGAAAAACATTCAAAAATAATACTGAAAATTGAAATAAAGATGGGAAATACCAAAAAGGTTCTTTGCTTTCTATTGATTCCTTGGTTTTTGAAATACAATCTTCAGTGAGACTGCCGTCACGATGACTATTTTTCTGTTTTTTTGAAGAATTGAGTCCCCTGTTACAAAGAATAATTTTCCCTCTCCATTTGCTTTCCCTCGTTCAAATTACCCCTGTTCGAATCCTCTGTTGAAAAACCAAACCCTCTGTTGTTGATTCTCTCTTTTTCTTCCTCCTGGCGCCTCTTCTGTCTTCACCGGATATATAATTGTACGCATGTGGGAGCAGGTTGGATCCAAGATTTTTCCTGATTTTTGGGTATTATTCTAATATTTAGTGGATTTTAGTGGAGTTAATTTGGTCTGGTTTTTTTATGTTTTGGGTGGTATTTGCCGTAAGGAATGATGATGGTTACTTTGGTGATCTACAATGTGCTCAGCGTCGTGCTTGGCAGTGGCTTCGGGTATGAACCTATCACCGGGTCGGGTTACTGGGCCAGTTCGGGTCTTCTTGTATTGCTGTTAGGTCGGGTCTAATCCAGCTTACTATGGGTCGGTTCTTGGAGTCTCGGGGCTGGAACTTGGGTTGAAACCTTGTAGTGGACTGTTGTGTTTTATTTTGTAATTTGGGCTGCACATTAAGCCTGCCAAATATGTAAAATAATATTAATAATAATAATAATACATATAATAATAATAAGAACGAGATGAAAAATCGGGTGTCGACAAGTCAGTCAATAGATCACATACTATTGATTAATTCAAAAGAATATATTATACAAGTATTATGTGTAGTGTTTTTATTTTATTTAATAAACTTTCTGAAACAGATGTCAGGGTGGCCGAGTAAAAATTTTAACCGTGTCATCTTTATCATCCTCTTCTAGATATTTTTAACCATGTAAAATTAGTGTCCTTTTAGGGTTTAGAATCACTGTGTTCATATAAGTTCTTTGTCCCTCCTGAACTCTCTACTGAACAAGTTAAGCTTGAAAAATATTGATTTGAACACGATGATTGAAGAAGTTAAGTCATTTAAATTGTTCGCAATGTATATTGGTTAACGAAGAGTAGGGCTCGAAAGTTTGATGTATACAACCAATAGACAAAAAAGAATGAAGACATGCAGGGATCGACCTGGGGTAAGTAGAGGTAATCGTCATCTAAAAATTTAAAATTATTATATATTTTAAAAAAAAAATTTATGTATTTTTTTATGGAAAATATGTTTCCGCCCTCTCTGGAATTTTATAAGTTCAGATTCACCCCCTAAAATTTTAAAAGTTCAAGTTTCCCCCTTAAAATTTTAAAAATTTAAGTTTGTTCTCCCAACATAAAATCTTGTGTCTATCCCTAAAGACATGTACCGTTGTATTCATCGTTTAACTTTCGTTATCTTTTAATATCTTACCCTGTTCACTTGGAGATCAAGCATTATTTGTCACATGTGATAACTACTTGAAACCTTACGCGAGTTGTAAGTTTGATGTTACGGTGATCGGAAACGGAGGACGAACTATGTATTCCGACGAGTGAAAGTTTATAGAACGTTGTTTCAAATGATATTGCATGTTAGGTCCTCATTTTAATATCAAATTGATATAATGTATAAGTTTTATGATCAAATTGTATTTTGTTTCAGAATCAAAATGAGGACCAAATTGATAATATTGTTTCAAATTAAGACCAAATTGATATAACTTATAAATTTTAAGGACTAAAACGTTATTATACCATGCTATACCACTATTCATGTGATTAAAATGTTGGGTTTTGAAATTTGATGATCAAAAGTGAACACTCATAAAGTAAAAGTGATCATTTTGGTAGTTTACCAAAAGTAAAAATAAAGAAAATGATTTTTTTTATTATCCTTTCGGTTCTAGGGATTTGCCCTGACTAATTCGGACTGACCTGCATTGCACATCTGATTTTAGTGGATAAGTCTCTCAACGGAAATTTTCTACATACACAATGACTCAAACGTAAGACCTTACTTAAACTATATCAAAATGTTTACATTTGAACCAACCCAATTGGTAGAAAATGGAACTTCTAATACATCTGCACTCATAAAATGTAGAATAAATGACGCATTTAATACCTAAATTATTAATTTTAATCTATTTAATACTTAAACTTTTATTTTTTTCAAAATCTTACATAATGTTTAATTTTTATTTCATTTAGTATATTTTGTTAAAAACATAATGCGTTTATCACCTAAACTATCAATATTGATTTGTTTTAGTACATAAACTTCGAACATGATATTAAAATAAAACAAAAACTAAACTTTAGGTATGATTTTAAAAAAATGAAATTTAGGTATTAAAATGAATCAAAACTAATAGTTTAAGTACTAAACTCATAATTTATTCTAAAATGTAACGCCGGCATTATAGAGCCAATATGGAATGCACAATTTTGTAGATTTTATTACTTACAAGTTACAAATAGCCAAGTCGATAACTATCCCAAAAAAAAATGCCGGTTCGATACGGTCCATTAAAAGCTGCAGACCGGAATGAGACATTGTGGCAATCCCGTAGCTACCGCATTATTCCTAAAAAGAGAAAGGGGGGGGGGGGACCCTCAAATCACGTATGCGATCGACTATGAACAAAACTCGACCCTGCTTCAATGGTGTGCCTTTGCTTCAGCTTTCCTTTGAGACTTCGCCTTCATCTGAGGATAAAAGTATAGTGACGTGTGAGGCATTTGTTTCTGATGTTTCTCTTGACTCGTCTCCAAATGCTATTGCATTAGTCAGGGATGATTATAAGATAGTATCCGTCTGAAAGACTCTCAGTTATTCGATAATGAACGCTCTCACACCGCTACAAATGACGTGCTCGAACCTGAGACCTCTAGGGATAACGATGATCTCTTTAACCCATGAGGTCGTTTGGTTTATGTTCATAGAAATGCATAAATGCATTAGATGCAGAGACATACACATGTTTTTATGCTGGGGCGAACTTCTAAAACTTTAAGAAAGGACGGGTTTATAAAATTCCAGGGATGAACACATATTTTCAATGGAAATACGTAGAAAAAATCTTTTTTTTATATAATTTTAAATTTTCAAGGAATCAACTGCCCTACCTGCCTCCTCGTTCCATCCATGATTGGATGCTAACAGTTTACCGCATCATGACTATGGACATTCCTGAGTTTAAACTTTCAAAGCACACATATCCACAATGTCTCGAAATCAATTATTTATGCCAATCAAGACATACTTGCAGATGTGCAGATAGATCACAGTACAAGAAGCTTTACCAGTATACTATCAAAACAGGATATTCCAGCAGGGTTTATCAACAAAAGAACTGATATCCATACACTCATTCTTAAATCTCGGTTTGAGCGTCAGATGCAAATACATGTCCAATACTAGTATGCTAAGTTTGTCCAAGTTTCTTTCATGTATTTGAAGGATCCTTAGAGGATTATATTTCCAAAACCATGTTAGAGTACCATAGCATGAGATTATCATAATAATAGTAGCAATTAAAATTAGGGTAAATTACACATTTAATACCTAAATTTTAATTTTTTTCAAAATCATACCTAAAATTTAGTTTTTGTTTCATTTTAGTACCCGCCGTTAAAAACTTTAGTTATTGTTCAATTTAGTAACCCGTTTAAAATCTAAAGCTGTTAAGTTTTGAAAAATTGAAAGTTTATGTACTAAAATGATCCAAAACTAATATTTTAGTCACTAAACGCATTAAGTTTTTAACGGTATGTACTAAAATGAAATGAAAACTAAACGTTAGATATGATTTAAAAAAAAATAAAAGTTCAGGTACTAAAACGACCAAAACTGATAGTTTAGGTACTAAATGCATAGTTTACCCTTAAAACTAAAGCAGATAAAACTATGGGTAAACTATGCTGATAGTCCCTTTTGTTATCGGTCTAACCGACTTTGGTCACTGAAAAAAATAAGAGGAAATGATACATTACGCTATCAGTCCGTCCGGATTAAGTCTCTATGCTATTAATTTTGTTTAACCCTTTTTTATTTTAAGTTCCTTTTGTTGAAGTCGCTAAAATGGCTGAAGGACTAAAATCGAGCAGACCGATAATGTTAGGGACTAAAATAGGACGGACTAATAACGTTAGAGACTTGAATCGGACGGATCGATGGCGTTAATGACCATTTCTCCTTAATTTTTTTCCGGTGACCAGAGTCGGTCAGACTGAAAACATAGGGGACTATCGGCATAGTTTACCCTAAAATTATCGGTATCTAGAGACGGAAGTGATTCAATCTGCAATTTTTACAAAATCTAAATCCCTTTCTTATTCACATTATTTGAGTATTACTGTCTAAATTCAAACCTGAATTAATTAAATCATTCGTTGGATATCCAAATCCACTAAAAATCCATATATAGTAAGTCCAAAGATCATTTTTTTCCAATGAAAATTTAAAAAAGTAAAGCAGATTCGGTTAAAGATATATGAATTTGAATTATTATCGGCGGAAAGCAAAACGGATTCAACTCCGCATCAGCTCTGAATCGAATAGTAATTAAAATATTTGAATTCGGATATTATCTGAATCCGTAAAAAGGAAGTCCGATATCTACAGATCTATAAATCTATTGTCATCTCTAGCATCCATTTCACACCGAATGAAGAATCCTATGAAAATTACCAGTTTCCACGAGATATACATCCGATTGCAAAAATATAACATGAAATCCATAAGCATACTAAAGTATCAACAAACAGAAGCAAGGAAAAAAACAGGAATAAATGGCACTAAACGGATGTACCTTGAGGTATTTGAGCTTAAAGCTCCCATAAACAAGTCCAAAAGAGAAAGCGGATGCACGAGCTACCTATTACATACGGAAAGAAAACCTCATCAACTAAAAAAAACAAATCAAATCCGATCTAAATTATTCATCGGCGAAGAGTAAAAGAAAAGAGGCGAAATAAGTTACGAGAGCGAGAGTGCTGGTGCCGGAGTAAGGTCCAGGAGGCGGCGCCATAGCTTTGCATTTGCTTTTTGTGTGATCGAAAAACGAGCGATTGGAGATTTCAGAACAAATATAATCTGCGGTGGCGAAACTGAACACAAGCTCTTTGCCTGGTTTTTATGCTAGTTTGTTGAGCTTTACCTATAAAACGACGACGTTTAGATTGAAAAGTGAATATCACTTACCATAAAAACAAGGCTCAAGTAAAAATAACTAACTACATGCTCATTTTTTATTTTAGATACTTATACTATTTTTTTGATTAAACTATGTATTTAAATTATTATATTTAATTATCTTAAGTCTTAATATTTTTTAGTTAAAAAAGTACTTTTTGATCTATAAGATGTTGACACATCATATAAAATTAGATATTTATTTTTTTCAAAAATATATTTTAAGGGCTTAAAGTAAAAAATATATATAATTTAAGGATTTATTTTGATAAAAAAAAATAGTTAAAGTACTTAAAAGTGTTACATATAATAATTGAAGTATCTAATTTGACCAAAAAATAATTTAGGTACTTAAAGCAAAAAAGAACAAAACAGTTTAAATATTTTTTAATTTAAGCTTAATAACAATATTAAAGTAAATAGAAAATTATAATTAGATCTCTTGAAGTAGAGTTGGCCTTGGATTTGCATGATTCTAAGCACTCGGCTCAAGGTAAAATTAGCCCAATAAGCTAAGCGAGTAATAAAATTAGTCTATTAGGCTAACTTAAATTTTAATTTACGTCCTTACGACAAGTTTGTCCAAATAATATTTTTTATTTAATCTTATAATATCGACGTGATAAGTTTTAAAAAAATATACATTTTTCATTTGATCAAAACTCGATCCGTCATTTGAGATAAAATTTATGTCCGACCCGATCCGAAATAATATATTTATAAAAATATTATTTTTATTCTATGAAAAATAAGAATTTAATTGAAAAAAATAATACATAGAGGAATCTTATTACAATTATCTCTAAATATATAAAATAAGATTATATTTTTCGAATCGAATAAGATATTATTTACTCTAAACTCGGACCAAACTGAAACATAATCTCTAAAAATTTTGACCCGAGTCAAATTTTTACCTAAAAAATCCGTCGAGTTCAAATCCGTATTCATCCCTAAAATGGAGTGGTGGAGGTAAATTGTTGTGGGGCTTTTGGTTAGAAGCCACACATGGGATTGTCTTTCAACAAAACCTTTATGTTGGGTTGAATTCACAGGAAGTTGAATCATTTTGGATTAGTCAATTAAGATTTTAAGACTTTTAAATTGTTTCTAATATTTTTGAATTATATCAACAGAGCGATTTCAGTGATTAAAAGACTTGTTGTTATCTTTTGAATTATCAGATTTGAGCGTTAATTCTTAAATATTTGAAAGCTTTTCAGACATATACTACTTTATAATCACACAGATTAATAAAAAAAAGTAGGTTTAATACAAAAATAAGTGCTCAAACTATACCCAAAATCTTGAATAGGTGCCTAAACTATTTTTTGACCCAGGTGTCTAACGTTACAAATGTTACCTATTTAGGTGTCTACACCGTGAACGGTGTTAATTTTCCCAGTTAAGTGACACGTGTCACAATTTGGTGGATTTAAAATTTATTTTTTAAAATATTATTATATTTATAAAAAATCATAATCTCTATTAAATTATAAAAAACCATAAAATACCTAAAATCCCCAAATCCTATCCTTAACCCGTTGTCGTCGCCGATATAGTCCATACCATCCTCCTAGTCATATGTTGTCATAGTTGCCGTTGTTCATCAAGATCGCATGGAATCGCGATTTTCATCCTATGGTTCGAGAGGTATAAAATGTCAATTTGTCGTTGATTGACCATCGATTGGTCACGATTTCATGAGGATTGAAATGAATATTTTCAAAGTTTTTGGGTTATTTCAAGGTGTTTATGTTTTTCTTTAAAAATATATATAATTTTTTTTAATTTTAAATAAAAATTTTAAAATCAAATATTGTGACACGTGCCACTTAATAGGAGAATTAACGTCATCGACGGTAAAGGGCGACGGTTGGCGTGAGTTTAAGGGTTGAAATGAACGTTTTCAAAGTTTTTGGGGTTATTTAAAGATTTTATTTTTTCATTAAAAATATTTATAATTTTTTAATTTTAAATAAAATGTTTAAAATCACATATTGTGACCTGTGTCATTTAACGGGAGAATTAACGTCGTTGACGGCCCGAGTACCTAAATGGGTAATATTTGTAACGTTAGACATCTGGATGGATCAAAAAATAGTTTAGACACATATTCAAGATTTTAAGTACAGTTTGGATACTTATTTCGGTATTAAACCTAAAATGTAAGTCCTAATATAAACAATAACATGAGGGGCCACACCAAAAGGCATGCGCATGCCCATGTGAGGTATTTGTCCTTGATGGCTGAAGCCTCCATAAATCCAACTTTATTTACTCCATTGCATTTCCCCACTCCCCCCTTTCAAAGAATTACAATCATTTTCTTCCAACAAAAATCAGAGGATGAGCGGAAACAACAGCCAAGTCGACAGCAGCATTGGCAGCAGAGACGACGGAAGCTCTAACGATCCCGAAAGCAACAACCACACGCCGCAGCAGACGAGTAACAACCGAAAGCCGACCGCAAACCAACCGATGAAGCAACCTACACGGGGAGGTGTGAAGAAGAGGATCTTTGGAGAATTTTCGGGAAAAAACTAGATATTAGGGTTTGATTATGTGTGTACTAAGTGGACTTTTAGTTATGAAGTTGAGCGGCTAGAGAATCATAAAATAAGGGTTTGTTTGTGTTCGTGTGTCTTCTATATCATATTTATCTTGATTAAGCTGAAGTGATTATAAAGCAGTGTCTGTTCTAAATACTTTCAATCATTTGATAATGAAAGCTTAATCACATTACTGCAACCACTGGTGCTCGAACCTGTGACATCTAGAAACAACAATAGTTCTTTTAACTACTGAGGTAAATTAATTCGTGCTTCCATATGATATTTAGGTTTCGAGAATATGAACCACGGATGCTTCAAAAAAAAGGGTTTCTTCAACTCAAAAGAAGGGGTTAATTTATGTAATTAACGTAGGATAATGTGAATGTATTGTTTATAATGTGATCCATGTTCGTTAAACCTATAGTTTTGTGCATCAAATCTTTATAACATGTTTTTTTGTATTATTAAACCTAGAGTTTTCGCATATGGTTGAAACCTATGTACTATGACTAGGGGTGTTTATTGAATGAGTCGATCGCGAGTTGGGCAGTGCTCGACTCATGTTCGTTAAAAAATTTTGTTGTTCGACTCGACTCTTTGTTCGTTAAGCTCGTTAAAATTTTGTTCGACTCATGCTCGTTAAGAAAACTTGATTCTCGACTAGTTGCTCGTTAAGCTCGTTGCTCATTAAGCTCGTTACTCGTTAAGCTCGATGCTCATTGCTCGCCTAGTTGTTCGTTAAGCTCACTGATATTTTTACCTTATTTTCTTAATCATAGGTAAAATTTAGTAATACTATATATAACTTAATATAAACATAAATTAATAAATTTTACCAAAAAATATCAAAAAGTATATGAAGTAATTTTAAAGTTTAAACTCCAAAATAACAATTCACAAATATATTAAAATAATAAATAAGGTTTGGTTTTTGAGCGTATGTATTAAATAATTTTTTAAGATAACTACTAAAAAATTATATAAAAAAATAATGAGCTTCTCGCGAACTTATTGAGTCGAGTAAAACTTTGCTCGACTCAACTCGTTAAGGTCTCGAGTCGAGCTCGAGTTCGAGTTAAGCACCCCTACTAATGACATACAAGACACTTATGAATACGTATACGTTCAGTATTTAAGTTTCACATTCACTTTACGATATAAATGATATTTCACTAATTTCTTCATAAACAATTTTAAAAACGATATGAACTTATTAAATGATTATGAAAACATCGACCATTAAGAGCACATTATTGTTATCTTGTTGAAATTTCCCTCCATAAAGGCTGGGTATGTACTTTCCAGATAAGGTTATCTTTTTTTCATGCTTCTGGTTAAAAGCAGGACCAAGGACAAGTAGGAGAACGGTTGCTATCATGGTTTATGAATTATAAAGCTTAAATGTTTTATTAATCTAATATATTAAGCATAAATTGTTGGTTTAACCCCCTATGTTTTAATTTAAATATTTAGGTTTTGGACGTTTTAATTTTAAAATTTTGATCAACTTGAACATATGTAATTAAAAATTGTTAGGCATCTAATTGTACCAAAAAAAAAATTGGATACCTAATTACACCTAAAAAGAAGTTAAATATCTAGTTGCACCTTTTAAAAAAAATCAGGATGATCACTTAAATTTATATTTTGTCTACTTTTAGTCATCGATTTTAAAATATTTTGGTATAATCATATATTTGGTCCTTGTTATTTATATATTTTCTCTCAATGTAGTCATACTTTTAATAAATTAAAATAAATTTAATCATCCGATCGAATGATGGCACATGTCATTGGTATTACGTGTCGTGTCATATATCACCATTCGGTTGGAAGACTAACTTTATTTTAATTTAACAAAGCAAAACAAATTGATGAAAAATAAATATATTAAATTAAAATAAATTAAAATAAAGTTTGTCCTCCAACAGAATGGTGACAAGTGGCATGACGTATGTCACCATTGACACATGACATGACATCATTTGATTATAGGATTAAATTTATTTTAATTTATTAAAAGTATGACTAAACTGAGAGAATATGTAAATAATAGGGACTAAATATATGATTATACCAAAATATCACTCCACTTAATCTATTACTGTTAACAACAGTTAACCCGTGGTAGTGACCACATCTTAAATAAATAAAAAAAACAAAAGTGACAATATCTTATAATTTAAAATCAATGACTAAAAATGGACAAAACACAAACATAAGTGTGTATTAGCTCATTTTTGTTCGAGGTCCACTTTCCTTTATATATATATATATACACGTACTTCTTATTATTTATTAGTGTTATATCACTTCACTTCTATTATTCCCACTATTACTTATT